GCTAGCATCAACTTGGTGATAATAAACACTGCTGAACCTTCAGGAGAATCAATGAACATTTTATTGCTTTGAATAAATTTTACTCTTCAAATCCTCCCAAACTTGAGGACCACTAGGATGATGATTAACAAACTTCCTCAGAAAATATACATCTGAGCAAGAAACAACAGTGCTCAAGGCATACGTAGGATCTGTTCCATGATCTTTGAGCCAATTGTACATAAGTACCCTATGCTGGACCCTTTTAGTTCCATAGGTAAGATATTTTGGGAAGATGAGTAAAGTTGATAAGGGATAACACAAATGATTTACAAGAAAATCAATCTTCATTTCAATAACATCCTTTGACTGGCTAAGAATTCGCGGTGATACTTTAACCATTTGGCAGACTTCCTCATGATCGAAACCAGCTTCCACAATACAATCAAATCTTTCCTGAAGCTCCCATCCGTTGCCTTGAAATTCATTTAGAGCTTCTTTCATTTTGTTTGAGTTCTCTACGAATCCTATGTCTAACAAGAATTTAGCCTTCTCTGTCTTTGATCTAAGGTTGTTTCCCCAGTCTAATGGCCTAAGTCTTCTACCCAAAACCCAGTGCTTCAATTCTTGCGGGTTCTCCTGGATGTATCTACACAAGCTCTTCTTCCCAATGTTCAAGTGAAGAAGTAAGGTGTTAGTTTTCTTCAAAGCACATGAACCCAGTAGCAGGGGGTGAGAACGGATGATCTTCCCAATCCCTGGAACCTTCATTCCGATCTCATTCAGGAAAAAAAAACATTTCCTCAAATTCAAACCAAATTTCATAACTTGAATTCGGGGAAACTGCAGAAACAGTGAATATACCTGGCTCATTCTGGATCCAAACTTCAGCAAGAACCCAATTATTGAAAATGTCCTTTCCCCTGAAGCCTCAAATAAAATATCTGGGTGCTGGCCAATTAATTCACCCAGCTGTCTGTCGCTGCAACCCATCTTACCAAGAAAACTTAGAACTTCAAGCATCCGGCTCCAATTATAAGAATTTTCTTCTGATAAGTTCCTCTGAATCCAACTGATTTC